TGTGTGTGTGTGTGTGTAGAAACCTTTCACCTGACTTTGACTCCAGTGTGTGCTCTCCGTACTGTAACTGTCAGTGGGTGTACTTTCAGCAAGCCTCAACAACAGCACTTATTCTCTCCATTCATTGTTTCCTAGCTTACCTACTTAGCATGAAAGGTAATTTTGATGTTGTCACATGTTGCATCACGCTGACTAACTTCCTTTATGTTCCCTCCATTCATTTCTATGTGACGCTGTATTTCTGTGTGTTTGGAAATAAGGTGAACCTCAGTCCCTGAACGTGCTGATGTTGTGATTTTGGGTCCATGTCGTGCTCATGTTCCTCTATGGTCCATTTGAACCTTACTTTGTGCTTCTTTCATATTAATCAGGGGTTGTGCCGTCAAACCCAATCTAACGTTGCTCTGTTTCTCTTTGTCTGTGACTCAGCTCGGAAGCAGGAGATCATTAAAGTCACCGAGCAGCTGATCGAGGCCATCAACAACGGCGACCTCGAGGCATACACGTTAGTTCAACTTGTTCTAATATCTCACATATCCGACCAACTTCTACCTGTCAAATCAATCTTCATGTGTCCATGTCTCTGTTATGTCTGTGCTCCTGTTTCAGGAAGATATGTGATCCTGGCCTCACGTCCTTTGAGCCCGAGGCCTTGGGCAACTTGGTGGAGGGCACCGACTTCCACCGTTTCTACTTTGAGAACGGTAAAGAGTTTCTGTTTCAGATGGTAGGACGGAGCGTCAAAACTCTGTCACTGCAATAGAAACATTCATCCTAAGGGTGAGCATGGTAGTACTAGCAAGAGTCACTTTAGTCAGGTATCTATCTACAGACACATATTACTCTAGAAAAAGGGGAAGAACATAAAACATTTCTCGTACTAACATAAGTTTAGATATCTTGTTAGAACGTGATACTGATAGTGGTAGCAGGTGATTACAAACACTAACCATGCACTGTTCTGGTTAGTTGGCTTTTTAGATAGTTGAGATACTACTAAAAGTATGTGACATTCCTTTTTGTAACATGGGTGAACTGATCCTTTTAAACAACAATAATAATAATAATAATAATACAGTTTAAGTATTTTGATTTCAAAGTGATTATTGTTACATCGCAGTGCGTTCAGTTAAGTCTTCAGCAGTCAGTGTATTGTGTGTCTTCTGCAGCTCTGTCCAAGAAGCAGCCCGTCCACACCATCCTGCTCAACCCCCACGTCCACCTGATCGGGGACGAGGCCGCCTGCATCGCCTACATCCGCCTCACCCAGTACATCGACAGCAACGGCATGCCTCGCACCATGCAGTCAGAGGAGACCCGCATCTGGCACCGCCGCGACAGCAAGTGGCAGAACATCCACTTCCACCGCTCCGGCTCGCCCACCGTGCCCACCAAGTAAGCCCACCACCCTTCTAACTGTGTGATCCTGTTTCAGTCAGGAGCCTCCGTTTCCTCATCCGCTGCTTTTAATTAGCCGTTTAAACACAGTCCATAGGCCCGCCATGAGTTGTGCCGTCTGTTCTGCATTGTGTGATTGGTTGATGCTTTTATTTGTGGTGTGACTCTCGTTCCAAAACAATAATTACACTGCTTTTTCGCTGTGTAATATTTGTAATATTTTTAATATCAACACCCAACAGAGCTTCATTCATCCACTGACGTTTCAGAACGTCCTTTCAGGAACTACACCATGAATCGTGACCATAAAACATTACATTCAGAGCAAAAAAAAGCTCAGTTACAAGACTGTGTACATAAAAGTGAAGGAACTACTCCTCCCATGAACCATTGCAAATGATAATAGTAGTGCAATTTGTCTTGTTATTTAACCTTTGTCATTGCTATAGTGTTTATATAGTTAATAATAGTGTTATAATATTGTGGTTTGTAGCAGCTCGCCTAAACCTGCAATATATTATTATCTATATATTACCATAGGAATCTTTACTGCATTATATCCCAGATAAAAACCAAACGCACATATACGATACAGATATGTCTGTATGTATCTCAGGCTCTCAACTCACTGTCCACTCACTGGTCTGTTGTGAAGCTTTTAACCATATGACACAGTCCTCAGTGAGGTTGACGGTTTCTCCTGCCGTCCATTAATTCCAATTCTTCCTCTTCCTCTTCTATGTGATTACAAATGCTAGTATTCTAGTCCAACTTTAATGATCCCCACTGGGGAAAAATGAGATCTCCCAGTCTTCCAAAAAGAAAGTATAAAGAGCTGTATCAAATATTAGAGGGGGAAAACAAACGTGACCCTACAGGACGAATGAACTGCTGTTACTGTGTATGTGTTCCTCTATTAATGAATCCTCCTCATTTGTGTTTCAGTTGAGAGGAAGATCTTTGACTACAAACACCCTCCAGCCTACAGCAGTCAGCTGAACAGACCCCGCCTACCAAGTGTCCATCAGATCCCTCAGCCAATCCCTGCCCATGATAGCTAGAGCTCCGCCCCCTCAGTGTGTTGTTTACATATTGTTGCTGCTGGACTGAAGATTATTGTACATGTTAAAGGGGAAAAAACGCGGGAGAAAACTTCAAGTCTTGACAATATCATTTTGTAGTGAGCGTGTGTGGTGTTGATTACGGGATATTACCATCTGCAGCATGTTTTATTTCCTTATTTTAGATCAGTATGTTTTAAATAGAAGTGGCTTTTAGGAGCAAGTTGTTTCAGTTGGTTGATTTTTAATGGGCTGGTGAATTATGTGAGACTTTCAGTCATCATGTAGTGACAGTCTTTGGGTTTAATATTGCACATATTGAGGACTCATGAGCTGTTGTGATGTTTTCCGCCTTTGGGCACAATGACCAATATATCACATATCTGCTTTTTACTCATCTATCTTTTCTGAATTGCCATCTTATTGATTGCTTGCTTTTGTTTTGGTGATGTATAGGTTTTGGTAATTGATGTAAATCGTTCTCTTAACTTAATCTTTAGCAGTATCCATATGAACTGAGTTGGCTAATTTTACCAATCTGTTTTCTGGTTTGCCATTGGCACTAAGTATGTTTACTAGGAACTTTAACTAGGTGTCTAAAAGGGAAAGTCCATTGATTGAAAATATGTTCTACTGTGGACCACCATGTTCACAGAGCAGCATGTGAGAAGAGTTGTGATAGAATGTAAACTGTAGAGATGCATATCATTCTTTAAGACCATTCTGTGACTCTTTCCAGTCAGATCATATTTTCATACAGTAAGGAGCTAATTATGTGAATTTTATCAGTTCTATTTTGTTGTGTTTACTTTTTATATTGTGATATTGATGATCGTCCCTCCACTTCTCATTATAATTGCTTTCCTTTCAGCCCCTTTATCCTTTATTGGCGATCCTTTATTCTCTGTTCGACTGGTGTACGCCATGTTCCACAGCACCACGTTTTACACTGGACAAGACTAGAGCAGAATCAGGATGTTGATACTGACAGGAACGCCAAATTCAGCTGAAACATTTCAGACGTTTCCCATTCCTTTTAGCCACAGGGAATTGAATTATTAGCCAGAATAACTGAGCAGTAAATCCCCATTCTAGTTGTTCTGTTACTCTCTGATGTTATTTTAGTGTCACTGTTGGATTAGAGGGGAAGGGGATTGTGGGCATCACTTGTGGGTTCGTATATTCCAGAGCTTCAGATTAGGGTGAGCACAGCTAGAGGAAGCAGTCACATTCAAAGATAAAGTCACAGGGTGTCTAATGATGGTTCTGTTTGTGTAAAGGATATTGAGATTTTTTGTTCAGAAAACTGTCTGCATTCTTTTGTTTGATCACATTTGTCCCTCAAACACACTCTGTTTTTATCTTTCTAAGACGCATTGAAATTCCCGATGGGGCACTGGTATATAATGTTACCATGATGGGACAAGCCTGATGTACGTTTAAGAAATATCAAATAAAATGTGTGATTTATGCCAAATGACTTGGTTTGTACTCGTTTCATTTTGTCTTCTTTAACTCCTCCTTACAGTGATTTCTATCCTGTCAACAGGCAATTTCAACCTTTACTCAAACGTTTCTACACAGGTTCCTCCCTTTGTTCCTCTTTAGTTTTTGTTTTGCGGAGCTTCACATTTAAAATTATATTCATTTTTTATTGAAATCTGTGACCCATCACATTTTGTCACACTAGAGGATTAGAACTAAATGAAAAAAGGACCACAGGGTCGACCATCGTGTCAAACAGAACTCGCTGCATTACAGTTTCTGCTACCACAGCTAGCAATGTGTCTGACCCTTAAGGCTCAGATTGGCTTGGGGCCACTACTGGGATTGTCTTCTCAAAGTAAGGCCACTTCAGCATTCAAGTACTTCAAGAAAGTCCAATATTCCAAAAATATTTCCAGTACAAACACCAGTATATATACACTTTATTATATCATCATTTTATATTAACTTTGTTGTTCGTAGCCAAACAACAAATCCAGCCCTGAAACCTGAAACCTGCTCTCTTCTTATCAATCCAGAGAAATATTCATGCGGTGTCCATAAAGTTGTGGCAGAAATGTCTGCTGATTTAATAACAATCACATATATCAATATTTACTTGAAAAAGTCCCCAGATGTAGATATTTGAACTTAAACACATTATTGTGACACATTAGTAAAGCACTGAACAGAAATATCTAAAGGTGGCATTAGAAATACCTCGTTTTATTTCTAAATCTTAAGACATTTTTACAAATACATGTAGTTTTTCATTGAACTTAAGCCTGTCACTGAGTCTAAAGACATTATTTTTTAAATCAATTTAAATCAATTTAAATCAATGTGTTAAAATGACAGTATCTGACACCAAACTAGGGTGGCAAGGCATTCTAATCCACCTCTAGATCCACCTCTGGCATTATGTACAAAAATTTAGGGATACACGATAATTATTGGGGGAGATAAATGCTTGACAGATAATGGGAATTTTTTATTATAAATTATCAAAATAATTAAATTACAACTGATAAATTATTGTTGATATTAATAATAATTTATTCTTATGCAAAATTTTAAATAGACTTTATGTTCTATGAAAGTCAATGTATATTTGGAAGTTTTTTAATAAACTTAAAAAAATAAATTAACATTTGAAGAGTCAGAACTGTTGCTGTTGTGTTAACAACAGTGATGTCAGTTAGATTTGGTTAGATCAGAGCTATGAAATATTGAATCATCCATCTTTGCTCACTACATTTTAACCTTTCTTTCCATCAGGCGTGTAAAATCGTATTCCATATTGTGCATCCCTACTAAAATTATTACTTATAACAGAGTTAAAATGGGAATCACTCCGATGATGAAGATTGCCACAGAAGTTGGTTATATCTAGAGATAACATTACTACACCTGCTGTTCTTTTCACCCTCCTCTCTTCGTTGAGGCCCCTCTGGCCCTCTCCATGGAGATTTCATAAAGTTCCTTTTCTGTAGTGATATCATGCTTTTCATTATTCGCATTAGGATCTCAAGTTAGAACAGATATACTTTTGATTGAGGTTTTCTGTTCTGCATCTCTTTTCATGTGCATTTTTTCCCCATATACAAGCCAAATTACTAATTTCATATGTTTAACAGTATTTTCCCTATGTCCCAAAACGTTTTAATAAGATCATTGATGTCTGATATCTTTATCTTTTATCTTTATATCTTCTATTATATTTTGTATTTTGTAATA